TAATTCACCGACGTAGATGATAAAAACAGCAGTTTCAGTCGGAGCAGACCGGCTATGGAAACAAACCACAGAGAGGCTGTGATAGCAACACAAGCAGAGGGAGTGAGAGACTCCACTGTATCTTTATATAGATATATAGAATAGTTGTTTGCTGCTATATTAATGTTTTAATTCTAATGTATATAACCTTTAATGTTATTATATTGCATTGTGAAATGCCAACTTTAACCTTTTTGTGTAGGACAGATGCTAATATTCAACTAGTTGTAACTCCATGAGACGGTTCCGTGTCCTATCTGCATTGTTGCGTTAGTTACTCAATTTTTTTTATTTATTACTGATTACTCTTTTCAAATTACTTATTACTCCCTGCCAGTAATTAGTTACCCTACTATTATATTACTTTTCTGATACTTGCCACAAAATTGGTAATTCTGCAAGTTCTGTTAGGAATTAGTTACACTACTAGTTACTGGGGAAAGTAATTCTATTACTGTAATATTATTACTAGTAATGCCTTACTGCCAAACACTGCCTGCAATCTGTTTGAATGAAAGATAAATACTGTTGTATAAATACATACATTTCTTCAAGGGTCTTCATTCTATAGAAGTTTTGTATTCAAAATGAGTAAATTGCATACGTTAATTTGGGGTTTTGTTTGGCAGTGGTGATAATGTATTGAGTTGACAGATGGAAATCCAAATCTCAAGAACAAACTTTCTGGAGAGAGGGCTACTGCTGTGGCATCATTAAAAACACATTCACCCGGTGAATGATGTCTCTCATGTGGTTCAAAGGACGGCTAACCCAAAATTCATTTTACACTTTTATCAAAAATATATCTTACGTGTCAAAGTGAGTTAGTAGTGAGTAGTGGCAGTCTGCTAAACAACCCAAATTAGACAATCCCTACTAAAAATATTATCAATGGCTACATAAAAATATGGTCAGAGTTATAGGTAAGTAGTATTAGATGTAATTGGCTAAAAGGTCACTTTTGTGCTGTCACAGATTAGAAGGCCACACCAACACTAATAATAAAATGTTTCTTGACACAGAAGTTCCCTGGTACATGCCTTTTTGAGCCCATGAACTGACCTCTGTAGTAAGCAGATAAACCCAACAGTTCTCAACAGTGATGCAGTGAAAGTAATTATACACTAATAAAACGTGAATATGATATTCCATTTTCCCCTAAATGTTACAAACTGGAATCTTGAATG